TTCTTCTGTTCACTGAAGAATTATCAATTAAGTTAGTTAATATACTACAAGAACAGTTTTCTAATAGTATATATGTTCGTGCAAATCCAAGTAGCTGGATAGATGAAAAATAAATAATTTGATAGATAAAAAATATATGATGTTAATAAGCTAATTTAGGGTCTTTCATGATTATTTCTTGTTCTTGATGCATTTACTACTCATAAACAGATTCTATAAAACACTGCTTTCATTAGAAAAATACAAATATGACCATAATTCTGAGTAGACTAACTTCATGCTTGCAACATTAGATATATCTTTGAACAAAATATTTAAAGCAAGAGTTAGTTTATATTTTTATGATTTGTTTGCACTAAATACGTAGTCTTTCCATATGAGTGTTACGGAAAGACTACACATTAGTTAGTTTAGTGTTTCAGATTAATTAAAACATAGTGTAAAAAGGTTTTAACTTTTAATATTTTAATATAAATCTATTATATATATAATCAATGGATGAATAAAGCAGTAAAGGAGTATATACTAACTGAAAATTAAATGACTATCATACTCAACGGTAGCAACTTGGATCAAAGAAGCATGAGATAACTTTGATGCTGTGATGATATAACAGCTTTTCAAGTGTTGTGGTGTTTTTACAGAAATTAACAGCTCTGAAGATAATTTGATTTTTGATTTTGAGAAAGTTCTAGATATAAAAGATGTAAGAATTGACATTGAAGAGAAAGGAGAAAATAGTGAACCAGCTCCTGAAGATATTGAAAATAATACAGAGTGTAAATATTATGAAAATGAGGAGGGAAATTATATTAGCATTTGGGACTAGCGTAAGTAACTAAATATTGTAATTTAGTCATTATTGATGCAAAATGAAACGAATTAAAATATTTTATTGCATTATCAGGCCTTTTTATATAATCGTTTGTCCATTTACTTGAACCTCGGGCATATATGTTAATGCAAGACTCTCATATCAATAACGTTTTATAAATTTGGAAAAAAAGAAATAAATAAATAGATTTTAGAATTGTTGGAATTTAAAAAAAAAAAAA